GCAGTGAAGATGAGGAGACAAAGGATGAGGAGATGAAGGAACCAGACGACAACAACAAAGGTACGAGCAGTGAAGATGAGGAGACAAAGGAGGAGGAGATGAAGGAACCGGACAAGAAAAACAAAGACACGAGCAGTGAAGATGAGGAGACAAAGGAAGAGCTGATGAAGGAAAAAGAAAATGACGAAAATACTGCTAGCAGTGAAGATGAGAAAAGCACAGGTGGGGACCCCTTCCACCAAATGCCATCCGCAGCCTCAGTTGGCTTCTCGACAAAGGGGATGACTCTGGAGAAAGTCAAAGATGTGTACGAGGGTGTCAAGCCTGTACCAAAAGCAAAACAAAAGGCAAAAGCAAAAGCAAAGGTGAAGGCTGTGGACTTGACAAAAGCTGAGGAGAGTGATGCTTCGAGTGACATTTCCATCAGCTCCATGCCTGCAGTGGGCAGTTCGACTAGCTCATCAACCACCACAACTTCAACTTCAAGTTCTAACAGTGCAGAGAAAAAGGATGATCCGGCGCCAAAGGCCTGCTTTAAGATCCGGGAAGAGTTTCCAAAATCTTGTATTAGGCGGTGGATGACCCGGGGATCCAGGTTTCCTGTTCCAGAGAATTTGTCAAGCCTTGAAGCACGTAGAGCTGCTCTAGCTCGTTTGAAGCAGCTTAAGATGGATCAGCTCTTGGAGAAAAAAAAACTCTTTGCCTGAACAGGCAGTGGAAGGTGAGGAGGAAGCTGATGAGAGCAGAGAGGCTAAAGATGCCAAGAAAGATCCCAAAGAGCGACCTATTCCAACACACCGGCGTCGACAAAAGAGTGGCCGCAGCCTGGCTTGTTTTATGACCACCTGAATCGCCTGTATCAGGTAATTGGCTGTTCGTCAAACCCGGTCTTATAAGTTGATCAAGTCTTAAACTTATTCGACGCTGTTCATTCTCGGCGTTCAACCATGCATCCCAGCTTAAACCCACAGCCATAGCAATCAGTCAAGGATGAAAGCTATATATATTATATAGACTCCGGCCAATCGATCTCACCTTTCCATCACTCTGGCGCCACCCGTTCACTGAGGAAGCCCACCACCAGAAGACAAAGAAGAAGATGCAGCTGCAGAGGCGCAACCTCCTGGGCCAGTGATCGGTATGTTTCAGTTGTTAATTCCAAGAGCCCAGCACCTTGGTGGTGTTATCGCACACAGAACAAAACCTATATATATTAACACTTCAGCCGGTTCACCTGCTCCCCTAGGAGGCGGCAAAGCCTGAAGACTTGAAGACTCTTGTGAAGAGGGCTGATGCCAAGGACTTCGCCCTGTCGTCGTATCGGTTAGTCATGAACCGGGTTCAACAGCTTGCCTTGGAGAAGGCCAAGTGTGTGGTTCCATGTCCTGAAGATCAGTTAGCCCTTCTCAATAGCAAAAAGGGAAGAGAGGAACGGCTGATCCTCGATCTGATTTATAGAACAATTTGGAACATTTTTTTACGTGTTGGCCAAGGGTTTTGTTGTGGGCAGTTCGCATTCATTTATAGATCTAAGGAAGTTCGAGATCTTTCGGACCATTGATGGGCAGGATGGTTGGAAGATTGAATGGAGAAAAAGGATGAGCGGTAAGCTAAAAGGTAATCTATACAAAGTGTTTCTGAGCCCGACGGGTGGAAAACATTACTCTCTGAAGGATGCCAAAGCGCAGGGGTTCAAAGGGGGCCCTGAGCTGGACGGCCGCCGAAAGAGAAAGAAGTTTTCCAAGTCAAAGTCTCACTTGAGCCTTGGTGGGGCCTGAATTGATCATATCTCGAATACCCGAAACTCAATAAACT